ATGACTTGATTTTTGGACTTCTTGGTGAAGGAGCCACATGGGCTGTGACTTCCATTGAATAATGTTCTTCTAGGGCCCCAGAACTGGAGCAATTCTGTAGTTTTGCTCCTTCTCTGCTCAGAGATTTGTAAGGATCTTTAGGCCATTCTCATGAAAATCTTCTAGATGGTTGTAGGACAGTTAGACCAATCAACTGGCTGAAGAATGACATCTAGCATTTTCAAAAGCATTGAAAAAAAAGTTATCTACTCATGTCATATGAAGCAGAAATGGACCTCAGCATTTTTAAAAATTATACGGCCATGATAAAACACAAACAACAAAGTATTTTCTAAACCAGATCTAAACCAAACAAATATTTCTTCTGTTCCAAGACTGGGACTTGTAGATTTGACTCAGGAAAGGATTTTGGCATCCGTCATCTAGATCAGTTCACCTTCCTCCCGCAGGACATAAGCACTAGAATGTGGCAATGGATTCCAGCCAAGTCCCAACATCTTCTGTGTGTGGAATTTGCCCTTTGCAAGTTGCCACACGATGTGCAGTTTTTGTAGGTCTCAGCTCAGAGCCTCAGCTCGTGTCTGCTTTGTGCACAGGCCAGGCAGCCCCAAGCCTTCCAGATAGGCAGTCCCTGAGGATTTCCATAAGGTTTGCAGTCTTTTGAAGTGGAGAAGTTTTCTAGTTGATTAGAAACAAATTCTAAATCCAGTTACCTCAACTGTTTGTTTCACAGATGAGGTAACCATAGGAAAAGGCAATCAACAAAACTGAAATAGTCTTTGCTCCACTGTGAACATGGCGCTTCTGGAATCTCGCTGGGGTTTGCCCCTTCACATCTTGGTCTGTAAACAGCAACTCGCCTAGATGATCTCAGACTGACTTAAATTTGTGTGTGTGTTTTTTAAAAAAATTAATCTTTCATTCTTTAGCTTCAGAATTTCTGTTTGGGTCTTTTTTGTGTTGTCTATCTCCTTGTTGAACTCATTTTGTTCTTGTTTCGTTTTCCAGATCTCCCTGACTTGTTCATCTGTGTTCTCGTGTAGCTCTCTGAGCACCTTCCGAACAATTATTTTGAGTTCTTTGACAGGTCGTTCACCTATCTCCATTCCTTGGAGCCGCTGGAGGTTTATGGTGCTTCTCTGGTGTTGTCGTGCTTCCCTGATTCTTCAGGGTCCCTGTAGCCTTGCATAGGTGTCTGCATATTTAAAGAGGCAGTCACCTCTTCTAGACTTCACAGACTGACTGTGGGTCAGGTCGTGCCGGGGTGCTCTGCGACCCTGGGCCAAATGGTGCAGAGCACCAAGTATGGGGGCTGTGGCTGCTCCAGCTCCAGGGAAGGGTGATGGCTCGACAGCTCAGGCTGCTGGGGTCCACAACATCAACAACAGTGTAGTGCTCGGTGAGGGTGGTGAGGGATCCGAAGTGGCTGCTAGCGCTGTTGGGATCCTCAGTGATGCTTCTGGGTCCAGGGGCTAAGGACCAGGGCAGGCAGGGGTGATGGCTGGAGCTGGTGATATGTGCTCTGTAAGCTACAGGGCCATCTCCAGGGGACTATGTAGTGGCAGGAGCCAGGTGCAGGCACACACGCCTGCAGGATGAGGGCCAGGCCAGCAGCAAGGGCCCTGGCAAGGGCAGGGCTCCCTGATGGTGAGCATGCACTACTGCAGCCACAGGCCCTCACCATGGGCTATGCACGGCAGTGGACATGGTGGTGGGAGATGGGCCGGCGGGTGCAGGTGCACAGCTGGAGGGGCCAGCTGCAGGTGAGCCCAGGGATGCAGGCCAGTGACAGGAGTCAGGGCCTTGCCAGGCCTGCAAACAGCTGTGGAGGCCCTGGCAGCAGCATCACACACCCCTGCTGCTTAATTACAATTTAACAACCAGCACTATCAAAAAGCCATTTCCGATGCCTAGCCTAAATTTGCCCTGGTCTGTTCGCTCCTCTCTTGCCCTATTCTCCCTACTAATAAATGCTGCTCACTGCCACCTGCACAAGGACCTTTTTCATTCCCGTAAAAAGTAGCAGGTTCCCTTTGCAGTTTCTCTCACTCACTTTATGTGTGTTCAGGGGGTAGGCATTCCACCACTTCTGCAAACCACAGAGACACATTTTTAGGCAGCCGCAAGGGGCCCTTGGGGTTTCTCAAACTGCAGATGTCCGGAAGTTACGTCTCTTGTTTGTCATTTGCTGATTGATTGATTAGCTCAGATACTCAGGATGAAAAGATGGCAACACTTTTCAAATAATTATATAAATATCACATTACCTCACAAATCTATTTGCTCACTACATCCAAAGAATTCATGTTTAAAAGTTTGGTGATGATGACAATTGATTTGTTTCATAGCTGACCTGATTTCTTCATTCTAGTCACATAGAAAAAAGAAAATACTTGCTAACACTTGAGTTCTGACAGTGTGCCAAACATTGATAGAAGTTTTTGCCATAATTCCATGAGGTAGGCATTAATAATAGACCCCTTTTACAGATGAGAAAACTGAGGCCCAGAGAGCTTGCATGATTTGTCCAGGTTCGCACATTTAAGAAGTGGCAGAGCCTCCTGCCTGACAAACTTCTACCAGGTCCTTGCCCAGGAGGACCACCTGGCCTTGGCCATGCATGAAAGGCCTTACATTTAGATGTTTGACCTTATTCCCACATGAGGTTATATAGACAGTCACAGAAAAACACCAGAGAACTGAAAGAAGTCTGTCATTACAACTTGGACCACACTGTCTTCAGTATACTATGGAGATGCACGCACACACATACATTATATTACATTTCATTTTTATATATGTTAGAGTCTTTAGTTAAGTAAACATAAACATTTTAAATATACCTAGGTTCCAAAACCCCATTTTGATACTACCTCATTTTGTAATATACAGAGTCTCAACAATAAAATTGAGGCTTGATGCTGGGGAGGTCCCTGTGCCTAGAACCACAGGATTGTGAGGTAAACTCAGAGACGATCTTATCCCAGTTTCGTCATTTAGCAAATGAGGAAAGGGAGACACAGAGAAGTTGAGTAACCTACCCAAGGTCACACAGCCAGAATGCTCTTCTACTGACAGGCTAGTGTGCTCTGTCCTGCACCCACTGCTGTGGATACCTGGCTCATGCTTCCAAACAAACAAGGAGAGACATTGCACATGTGGGCACCAGTAACAGGAATATCCTGGAGGTCATGAAGCATTTCTTTTATGGCCAATGACTCCTTCCAGTTAATCTTTTTTTTTAATATGTTGTGAGGGTGGGGGGAGATTACATTTCTAAAGAACTTTTCACAGTTCAAAATGCTTTTGGAACTGAGAATGAATATTGAACTCTATGACTCCCTGGGAGGCGGGTGTGCATAGGCATTGATATTTCTGTTCTTCGGTAGGGGAACAAAAGTCAAGAAATGTCACCTTTCCCAAGGTAACACAGCTAGGTTGTGTGGCAGAGCAGTTACTGTAATTTAGGACTCCTGGCTTGAGACATCGCACTGAAACACACTGCTTTCCTGTACACAATATGACTTACAGGAATTACAGATGAGAACAGCACAGGCATTTCTGTTCTCCTAATGCTATTCATAAACCATTTTCAAACCCAGTGGATTTTCTCTGAAAGAAACTATTCTTCATGTGATCAGGAACTTGGCAAAAAAGATAATTAGGTCTCCTAACCAATATTCATAAAGTAAATACTATTTCAGGGCAGATACTAAGCATTTCCAATGTTCTAAGGTGTTTTCCTTTCATTGGTGAGGTGTTAAATATATTTAAATGAAGCTTAGTCTGGGAGACCATCATTTTGCGATTAAAAATGCAGCCCTTGTCGCCTTGCAATTGTTTGTCTAAAGCCCTTTTACAAAAGATGGTATTTTAATTCAATATATAAAAGACAGGCACTTCCAACTTCCCGGGATTGGGGAGGGAACACGTAGCTACCACTTGCAGCTATTACACACAACAGAGAAAATACCCAAACAAATATTTGATCTTGCTCTGCTGAAAGATGTTTTCATCTTTCAAAAGACAGAGGGAAAAACAACCTCAGAACTTTACCACCAAAACTGCCAAATTTATTGCAACACAATGTAATGGCAAAATGCTATTTTCTCAGTGCTCACATTTTTGAATAACAAACCACCATGGCCAAGAATGCCTAGTTTTACAATAAACTCAAAAGAAAACTTTGCATTCCCCCTTGATTTGAGTATGGCAAAGATGCTGTGGGTTGTTCAGAGCAAACCATGGAGTCTAATTATTCAGTCTTATCCTCTCTGTTTAACCTGTGCTGGAGGCATTTATTTCATGTTTATACTGGTTTGGCATAAATCATGCTTAAAAGAGATTTCGTATCCTGTTTCCCTGTGCAAAGTTGAGCTACAATAGTAGACTTAACAATGGCCAGTCCTTTCTTGGGCTTATCAGTTAAAGAAGCATTCAGCCTAAGAAAACACTTCCAGTGTAAGCAAGACACAGAATTGCACATCTAGAAACATTCCACTGAGATCTGTCGAAGAGAGAGTAGATACACATTAAATAATTTCTCTTTTAATTTAGCATCTTTGTGCCCACTTCTCATACTGCTTTTTGTATATTATTACAAGCAGTTTGCTACATTGTTATTTAGTCTAAGTAGGGAAGTGAGATATAACAAAGAGCAAGATAATAGAGATACTTAAATGTACTTTGTAAAGCTCTACACAAATGGCATATATATCAGCTTATCTTAACCATTAATTAAGTTGATTTAAAGATACAGTGAAAATCTTTTTCTAAATCTTATCTGAGTACAATTTATGTAGAGCTGATATGCATAGCATTAGTTTACGAGGATGTCAACTACCACCCACTGTGATACTCCTGATACTGAAATTTGTACAGTCCGATTACTTGGTCAAGGTATGCGTTATAATTTCTTAATGATAAATACATTTTAATATTTTTATAATAAGGAATGGAAATCAAACTATCTACATAGCTTAGTAATTTGTCAGACATACCTTGTTTGAAGAAAGCAATTTTTTTCAAAAATTTTCCACCACACAGAATGGATATCCTTTTTTCCTTAAGCTTTTCTGCATCACAAATCCCATCCAAATTATTCTAAAGAAGAAACAAAAAGAGGTCCAAGCAACTTTTCTCTTTTCTCAGAGGAGCTAATCAAACATTCCCATCAACCTCTCAGCACTTTGAAAAGCACATTTTACACCACACACACTCACACACACACAGACACTGCTGCTTACACTGGTTTTAGTGCTGAATTAGGCGGTCCTCTTTCAAATTTCCACTCCCACTTGCTGGCTTTTTTTGGGGTGGGGGGGGGTTGTAAGGATTTCTAAATATTCTTTTCTAGCCCAAAGCACGCATTTTCAGTAAGTAAATTCTATGATTAGAAATTCTAAGAAGTAGAAGAGAGGCACTTAGATAAAATGGAAAATAAAAAATAGACTTTAAATGACTTAAACAGGAAAATTACATTTTCTCTTTCTTTTTAAAATGGTAGTGACCAGCTGATTTGACTGCATCTCTTTATGCAGAAAACTGCAAACACCACCAAGCTGATTCTACTGGACTCCCACTTCTGGAGTGAAAATACTTATTTTCCTACACGTTAATGCTGTTTTGTTGTTCAGTTTGCTTGGGTCCCTTGTACACTTTGGCGAGCGTAAAGGAACGACTGCCGTCTATGCTGCTAGTAGCAGATCACAAGATAATGATAGTGGGAAGCAAAACCTGACTCATGTTTCAAAAAAACTAATGTTGGATATCATAAGTGAAATCTGCTGATTTTTATTATTTACATGGTGATGTCCTCAATTAAGTTGAAGGGATTCAGACCTCAAACATGCATTAACATATCACAGCATTATAAAAAGCACACCGTTCATCTGGCAGTCCCGGCAATTCAGACGTCTATTGGTAGGACAGAGCATCTTCTCTCCAGCAGGGCAGGAGGTAGCAAAGAGCCATTCCTCCTCCTGCTGGGGATATGTGCACACTCAGGCACCCAGGGAGGGGAATCATCGCCCTAGCAGCCCTCCCGCCTTCATCTGCTGGCCCTGACATTGCTCCTTATTCAACATTACGGTTTGAATGTTATTTAACCTTTTCCCTCCTCCATTTGGCTTAGCATTTACATTGTTTCTCAATCCTGTTTCTTCTTCCACCAAATCCTGAGCCTAGGTCCACTGGAGGTAAGAATGTTTGCTGTCACTGGATGGTGGCCCATCCCACCATTTGGATCAGAGAAGGTTCAGATGAAATGGCAGCCCAAGCTTAATAAAATTAATAATAATAATAATAATAATAAATATATAATAAAATAATAAATATCTCTTTATCAAATACTTACTTTTGCTAGAAATGGTGATGTGCCCTCTACATATATCACCTCATTTAATACCTAGAAGAATCTAGAGGGGTCAGTATGTTACTTCTATTCTACAGGTAAGAGAACTGAAGCTCAGAGACCCTTTTGCCCCAGTCGCCTGGACAGAAAGGCAAGACCTGGGATTCAAATTCAAGGCTGTCTGACTCAGTAACAGTGCTATGTCAGGAATTAGAGCTTCTTTTTCATTAGTTTAATTTGTTTTCTTACAGTGAATAAGGCAGAATCAAATGTAAATGTATTGACAAGTTTATGAAGAGATGCTCAAAGAGAAATGCAAATTAAAAAACTGATGTTTGCAGTGATGAAAACTTTCAGACAGTGATGGCTGCACATTATCCATGTAATTAATGTTAATGAGTTAAATTAAAATGATCAAAATGGCAAATTTCTTGTTATACATATTTACCACAATAAAAAATAGTGAAGAGAGAGAGAAATTCCTTTTTTAAAAAAAGCAATGAAAAATCACTTTATTTTTATCATATTGGCAAAAATTAGAAAGCTGGAAATGCCTATGGAAGATATTTCATGGCACTTATAGGCTGCTGGTGATGTGGACAAGTGTGACTATTCTAGAGAGCCACCCAGAAGCACTCAGTTACATTACATGTGTACCCTAAGGCCCATGAACACCCTTGTGAGATACATTCTTCGGTGAGCTTCTTGCACAGGGCCATAAAACATCCATCCTTGGAGAATTAATGAGTTAAGCATGGTCGGTGCACAGTATGAAATATTATACAGTAGCTAGAAGCAAACGACTAGATACTGGGTTTGAAAATCGATCCCCAGGCCAGATTACCTAAATTTGCTTGTTGGTTTAGCACCTAACATTTGGCAAGTAACCTAATCTCTCTGTTTTTTAGTTTCTTCATCTGTAAAATGGGAAAAATAATAAAACCTATATCACAGAGGTATAGAATTAAAGGAGTTAATGCTTGTAAAGTTCTGGGAATCTTGCCTCAGGTGAAGCAAATACTATTGTGTTTTTCAACTAAATGAAATGTACACCAACACTACCGTATGCACTTTCTATTGCAATGTAACAAATTACCACGAATTTAGTGTCTTAAAACAACATCCCTTTACTATCTTGCAGTTTTTAGGTCAGAAGTCCAGGTGTAATGTAACTGGGTTCACTGCTAAGGTTTTCACACAGCTGAAACTGAGTGTTGGCTGGACTGGGTTCTTATCTAGGAACTCTGGGAAAGAATCCACTTTAAATTCATTCAGGTCATTGGCAGAATTCAGTTCCTTGTAGCTTTAAGACTGAGGGCTCTATTTTCTTGCCAGCTGCCAGGAGGCAGCTGAATCCTGGAGGTCACCCCTCCCCTCCTCACACAGCCTCCATCATCTTTAAGACAGCCAAGGCATGCTGATGCTTTTTATGCTTGCATTCTCTCTGACTTCCTCTTCTGCAACAAGCCAGAGAAAACTGCTTCTAAAGGGCTTGTGTGATTCAGTTAGGCCCACTGGGATGAATCCTCTTAACTTAATGTCAACTGATTAGTAACTATAATTATTATCTGCAATATTGCTTAGCCATGTCATATGACATAACCATGACCTGGCAAATAGCATGCGACCGTACCAGAATTCTGCCTACCACAATTATGCATCTTAAAAACTTTGGTCTAAGGGAAACTAAGACACTGAATGAGAAGTATGATACAACACTGGGATAGTCAATTTTATGTGTCAACTTGACTGTGCTACCAGGTGCCCAGATATTAGGTTAAACATGATTTCTGGGCATGTCTTTGAGGACACTTCTGGATGAGATTAGCATCTGAATCATTAGGCTGAGTAAAGCAGATTGCTCTCTCTGATGTGGGTGGGCTCCAACCAGTCAGCTGAAGGTTTGAATAGAAAAAAATACTGAATAAGACAGAATTTTTTCTCTCTTCCTGACTATCTTCAAGTTGAGGCTTTGGTCTTCTTCTGCCTTTGGACTTGGACTTGGACTAGAAATACACCATCAGCTATCCTGAGTTTTCTTGCTGATTGCAGATCTTGGACTTCTCAGCTTCAATAATCATGTTGGCTAATTCCTTATACTAAGTCTCTTTATGTATATTATCTCCTGTTGGTTCTGTTTCTCTGGAGAACCCAAAATGTTACAAATATGACTATGAGAATTAAAATTATGCACATAAAACAACAATATGCATTTTGCAAGAACACTTATAAATGAGTATGTACTCACCAGGTCCATAGTGCTCCAGAGCTTTGTAGCCACTGCTCCTGAGGGCTTCTCCTGGATACCTGCATGGACCCCTTGCTCATCTATCACGTTGTTGTTACTTGAGTGTCACTTCCTAAGGAAGTTCTTGCTTGGTCACCCTGTTTAAAATGGCACTCCTATCCCCAGCACTTCCTTTCCTTCTCTGCTTTATTTTTCCCCATAGTACTTATTACCCTTTAATAATGATTACTTATTTTTTCCACTAGGCATTCCCTGCTAGAATGTAGGCTCCATGAAAGCAGATATTTTTTCTGTTTCGGTCATTGATGTATTCTTAGCCCTTTGAACTGACACATAAGAGGCATACAATAAGTGTTAACTAAATGAATGATTACAAATAAATTAATTAGAAGCCTTTCCTGTGGGAATGGGATAAAATAGAATAAAAAACATCAAAGCAGAGGTCCTGGGATCTTATATGGACCAGTGTTTATGGTGCTGAGGATTGACTCAACCCTCTACAGCCATGACTGCCTGCAACAATACCTATAAAACAGTCAAGCTAGAAGCCTCAGGGAAATCTAACTTCTTTACACTAAAACAAAGCCACAGCTTCATGGTAAGTGGCCTTGAACTTGCCACTAGGTATAAACTGAACTTCTAGATTATCTCTAGTTGAGAACAGAAATTGTGAGGTTCAGTTTTTCCTTCATTATTACTTCTTAAGATTTGGCTTTGCTTATAAATCACGTATGGTTGCTTCAAAGCATCAGTTCTTTCCTAAATGTTTGCTGCTACATAAATTTAGTGTCCCAGTGTTGTATTGTACACAGTGCAAAAACTCAAATCTCTTTTAGAACATTCTCTATTAAAAGTTTTTATTATTGTCATAAACATTGAACTTGACAGCTCTTTAAAATACTGCCTCATTTTTTCTTTTTCACTCCAGAGGTAAAACTCAGGGAAATCAATGCACTCTTCATATCGCAAATCCATTCTTTTATGTGACTTTTAAAAATGCAGGATGGCAATTTAAGAGTCTAAGTAATGAGGTAGCCCTTTCAGACACTCCTGATACTTTCACTGTGTGTGGGTATAAAATAGAAGAGTTACGCCTTTTATAATGCAAGCTCACTGGTATGTCTAAGGCTACATCATGTTTGATGCTCCATCAATTTTTCATAGAAATATGATTTTCCTTGAACTCCTCCACTACAACAGTTTTGAGATTTTTTCTCCCTGCACTTAGTAAAGCTTATTGCAATGATCAGGTGTTATTCCAGTTTCATGGACACTATTGAATATTACTGTTCAGTACACATTTTGTGTGGTGTCAATGTGAATGGAAAATATGTTAACATGATTAACTTCTGTTAAATTTATGTTATTATTATCTTTCAGAAGCAGAGAGGTTATTACAAGAAAAACATCTTTCAAAAACTTGACAGCATGGGTAACTTACAAACAGGTAAGTATAGGTAGCCAAAGAGATTTTGCCAAGGAATGTAAAAGAGCCTTCAAAACTAGAAGGAAGAGCCCTTAAGAACATATCAGAGAGGAAAAAGTGATTAGAGATCAGATAGGAATTATTGATAATAATGCAGAAGATAAACTTGGTGGTGCAGAGGAGCAAGTGAATTCAGCTTCTTCCATAGGC